GGTTAATCTATTGTGAGAATGGTGGATGACCTTCACTGGGTTATGTATCAATAAAAATAGATGGGGAATTCAGACAGTTTTCTTGCAAGAACCAATACCCCCCCTCTCCTTCCCCAACCCCCCACTCCTCCATCCCCTGATATTTTATGTCTAGATCCAAATTTAAGAATTTCCAGAACAAGTAAAAAGATAAATACACAGAAAGCAACTTGTTCTGACCTCAGACCTGACTCTGCTATGAGCAGAAGGTGGGACTAGAGACATCCAGAGGTCCTGTCCAACTCGAATTACCCTGTGGTCCTATGATCTTGCAGTCATGCTCTATACTAATCCAACCAGATGTGATATGCCTGCATTCAGATCCAGCAGCAATAGTCCAACCAGTGGGTAGTTTGACTGGTTAGTGGAGGGGTAAACAGATTCACGGGACCCATTCTGTTATCAAGCAATGTTAATAAAAACCTGACATGCTCCAGACTCAGCAAAACCATCTGTAGTCACAGATAGATGATACAGGCACAAACACACCTGTACCATGCCTACTCTTCAATTTCTAAAGCCAGCCTACCCACACACCCTAGAGTAAACTGGGTGCCTGCCAAACCACAAGATTATGAAACAAGGAGAGGCACAGGGTGAGCAGCAGCAGTTTACACTTACTGTATTTTCCTTTTTGCTCCTCTTTGTCTCTTAATACCTCTGTACATTTGGAGCATAAGTTCTTCAGAAGATAGAATAGGGTTTTCTCCTGAAGTCTTATGTAGTGGCTAAGGAGGTTGTCCTGGGTTCAGCAGTAGCAGTTATTTTTCTCCGTCTTGGTAGCTGGTGCAGTGCAGTGTTTTGACTTTTGGCTTGGGAACAGAGCTGATAACAATGATGTTTTGGTTTGGCCAAGGACTTTGTGAGCCTCATGCTCTGCCAGGGAAGAGGGGAAGCCAGGAGGAAGCAGAGACAGGACACCTGACCCAAACTGACCAAAGAGGTATTCCATACCAGAGCACGTCATGCCCAGGATGTAACTGAGAGTTACCCGGAAGGGCTGGTAGTCTGCAGGGTTGGAGGAGGACCCATGGGAGTTGAATTCTTTTGATTCTCCTCTCCGTCCCTCTGGGAGCAGGGGGAGGGAAGAAGGGGGGGGAGGTGAGTGAACGAGTTGCCTGACTGGGTTTAAACCACGACAGAGGTGAAGTGCTTTGGACTCTTGATTTGTGTTTCTAGGTGTTACGGTAATTTGAATACTGTGCAATAACAACTACACAACTCTTAAGAGACTTTCAGGGCAGGGAGTTAATTCTGTCTGTTCAACTAACATACTTCTAAGAGAAAAGCATCTATTCTTTAACCAAAGTCCTCAGGAAATACAGGCTGATCCATTTCTCATGGAGGCATATTCCAACCATTTATGTCTTCCACTGTGAAAAGTTGTGCAGAATTTCTAATTTGAATTTGTCTGATTTCAGTTTATAGGCATTTTTCTCGTTATGCCTCTTACTGTGAAAGATTAGAAATCACTGTAGCCGCCTTCCAGTTCTCTTTTTGAAAAGCCAAAGAGATTGTGCACTTTAAGTCTTCCTATGCAAAGAATCTTCTCTAGCCTCAAATAACTTCTTGACATTCTGTCGACAACAAGGGCACTAGAGGCTAGAGCAGTATTACCACAAGAATCTCCCCAATGCCACATGTAGAAGGAAAATAATTTCTCTTTCTACTTGCCACATCAGTGGTTACGTAGTCAAGGATTCCATTATTTGCTCATATTGTAGCACTAGACTGGAATTAATTTTTGCTGTCACCCCCATCTCTGCAGACATGATCTGCTCATTCTATTTTTAAGTAACTCCACTGATGCCTATATTAAAATACACTGTATCTGAAAGGGATTAATTTACTAAACAATGCAGATCTTTTGATAACCCCAGCTTGCAATTAATTTCCCATTTAACCACTCTTTCTCTTCACAATACATGAGTTTTGCTTTGTCATTGCTGAAAATACTAATACATCTATTTCTTTTTCTCTGTATTAAGATGCTTGTGCTCTCCTGCCAGCTTTCCTGAGCAACTATACCCTTTGGAGCTGCTGTTCAGTGGATACCACCTACCAGTTTCCTGAATAAACTGGTCTGTTCCCCTAAAACCAAGTTCTGTATTCTGCTGCTCTCCTTCTGCCCCCACAGGATCATGAACTCCATTCTTCACTCACTTCAGGCCAGGCTCTGATAGCCAAGCCATCGATTACATCCCCCAGTTCTTCCTTGTTGGTGAAGAACAGATCCAGCTGTGAATCACCCCTGGTTGGCTCAGCCAGTATCAAGAAGTTATCCATGGTGTTTTTCAAAATCTTCTTGACTGGTTGCATTCCAATGTGCTGTGTTGTAGCAGATGTCAGGCAGGCTGAAACTCACTCAAAACCTGGGGTCTGTGATCAAGAGACTTCCTTGCTCCTAGTTAAAGTTCTCACCAGGTTGGCTGGCCAGCAGGCAGAGATGCTCTTTTTGCGTTTTGTTAGGTGGATCTTGTCTCTCCCCAGTGACACAAGATCTCACAGACATGGTTTCTCAGACAGGGTTAGTTACCATGCTGATCTATATGCATTGCAGTCACTGTTTTCAAAGCTCTGCCTCCTCAAGCATACACAAACACATGCACAATCCCGGCCTACCCACCCAGTTTTTTTTTAGCTCGTCAAATACCTGGCATACTTAATTGTGAATCATTCCAATCACCATAAGGGTCTTAATGATGACAATTAAGTGTAATTTCCAATTCTCTTACTCGTTTGCTGATATTTTACCTTGGTTTTACAGTCAATAGTATTGAAAATGATTCTGCGTTTCCCCTTGTTCTGTATGGTGATAGTTCAGTTTGCTGCTAACACAGCACCTCCGTTTACATGGCACTGCAGGAAAAAATCAGCCTCACTCTAGGTTACTAATTTAGCATCTTCCAGCTGCTCTGCTTAGTCTCCAGCCATGATTAACCCACACCTGGCAGACAGAGGCCAGCATAGCCCTACATCCCCCACTATCTTTGAAATGTGTCTGATACCCCACAATACCTGATTTTTCTCTTGGAACTACAGACAGAAAGAGCACTTCACACCAAGTATATTTTGCCTTCCTTCTCTAATCTGTGGGCAGGAAGAAACTGGAAGGCAATCTCTGACTTTCGAGTGCCTTTCAAGGTTCCTGCTGTTGTCTATGGCCTGCGCGGTTCCACTTGATGCCACATAATTGGTTCCAAACTGAATTATCTCCCAGATAACAGTGTAAGCTTCTGCAGTAGTGCAATTGCTTTTTGTGTTTTTGCTTTGGGGAGACAACATGCTGTCATATTTTCCTGGTGTCATTTCCTGTCAACTTTGTCCACTCTGGATCATACAGGAGTGGCATGTTTACTTAATACTGTAAGGAATGGTGCTGCAGACGTATTTGGCAGCATTGTATTTCAGTACATGAACCGCTGGATATCTGAAGGTGTGACACTTTTTGCTGGCCAAATACCCATTCCTGCTTTTTTTGCACGTAAAGTGTCCAATCCAGTTCTTTTGTTTCTATTCTCATTTCCCTGATGCTGTCCTCCCCCATGGTTTCTGTGGCAACAGCTTCTGAATGTAGTCATCCAAGAGGCATTTGTTTTCTGAAATACTATACTTTTGATATACACACTTCTAGACCACAGATATTATGTAAAGGAACTGCTTGAGGATACTTCAGGTTGCAATAGAGTTCAGTTATAAGACTCCTGAAGTCATGTTCTTTATGTTTCAGCTGAAGTAACTATTTCAATTAGTTTAGTTGCTAAAAATTGTTTACTTCTGAAGATGATAGAAAGTATCATGATTTGACATTACACACATTATCTTTTTTTACAGTCAAAGGATGCATTTATGATCCAAGGCCTTATGTGCATTAACATTATTCTTACTAATAATGCATTTTCATCTGCTAAATATATCCCATATATGAAAAGAGGCAGGGGGGATGTATCTTAGCTAGCTTTATGCTTTTTTTTAATGCAGGTAGGAACATCTAGAACGACTCACCCAGATTTCTGTTGGTCTGCACAAATAGGCATTATCTGGATGATTCACCTCCTTCCCAAACAGACACTTCTAGTGACTGATACAAATGACAACTCTACAGATCAGCTTTATTATCCAAGATGTCTGAGACTAGGGTATGCAAATCCCAGCCCACAGAAACCAAACAGTTGGTCATCTGGAGAGGAACTGAGATAAAGAACTCACAGGTGCTGTGTGCATCTTCATGTGCCCCTTCTGCTGGGAGGCACCTCAGGGCTTTGAGAAGACAACAGCTCTTCAGATGCATGAAGTCTAAGGTGAGCCTGCCATTATTAGTAAGTAAAAGTTTTCTACTTCTGAATTTGCCTTATTCTTCAGTTGCGAGTTAAACCTGTGCACTCTCCTCACCTCTCCAGGCCACAAGGGAACTCCTTCCCTAGAAGCGGCTCAGCACTTGCGTTGAGTAGCACCCACCAAAACCAGGCCCCGCTCCCTCCCTCTTCCAATGCCCTCACCCAGCACCCACCTGTTAGACCTCAGCTGTAGGCCACAGGAGTTAGTAAGGGGGAGGGGGAAGGGGAAGGACTGATGGCGGAGGGCAACCATTCCGCCTCCCCTTGCCATGTTGGGGCGCAGGACTCCGCCTGAGGCAGCCAGCGAACCGCCCCCGCCCGTTCTAACGGCTCACGGCGCGCCCCCACCCCGCCCCCTCGGCTCCGCGCATGCCTGTTGGGGCGCGCTCGGCGCCGGGGGAGACGCCGAGGAGGCGTGGCCAGCCCCGGGGCGGTGCCGCGGCTGGAGGGGCGGGCGGGAGGCGACCGGTGACCCGGCGGGGCTCGGGCGCGGCTTGAGGCGGGGCTGCGCTGCGGGGCGGGGCGTGGTGCGGGGCGTGGTGCGGGGCGGAGGGGAGCGGAGCGGAGCGGGGCGGAGGGGAGCGGAGCGAGCCTCAGTGGCGCCGGCCGGTGCACGCGCGCCCGGACGTTGGGGCCGCTGGGGCCGCACGCGCCCCGGGGCGGGCGCTACCCGGCCCCCGTCGCTCTGCCTTCGCTTTCCCTTCCCTTCCCCTCCTACTCCCGCCCGGCACAGCCCGGCTCCGTTCGGCTCGGCGCTGTGATTGGGCGGAAGATGGCGCTGGGCGGATGGAAATCCTAATGACAGTCTCCAAAATCGCCTCCATCTGTACCATGGTGAGGGAGTGAGTGAGGGGCCGGGGCAGCTCGCTCCCGGCTGCTCGCGGGTGGAAAGGGCGGTGTGGAGGCTGGGTTTGCGCAGCGCCCCGGTGGGCGGCTGGGTGGTGCGGAGCGGAGCGCTGGGACGGAGCAGCGGGGAGGCGGCTGTGGCCGTGGGTGGGGATGGGAAGCGGAGCGGGGTTAATCGGCTTTGGGAGGCTCAACCTTGGTGCAGACGCTGATGGGATCGGGTTGGGCTGGGCGCCGGGGGCAGTCCTGTCTGTGAACGGGACAGGGAGGAGTGCGGGGTTGCTGAGCGCAGCTCCTCCCCGAAGTGTGCCGGGAGCCGGGGCATTGCCTTGAGTTCGGGTGGCTTGTTGCAGGTGTGTCGCTCTTAGCGTAGGGTGCCTCCTTGTCCCTGTGCACTCGGTAACTGTCCCTTCTCCCTGCGTACCTCACTCCTGCGGTGGAGCAGTGCCTGTGAGCGGGCGGGTTACCCGGAAAAGTGCTCGCACCTTGCGTGATCTGCTCAGCCGCGCGCGCTCCACGCGCTGGCTGTAATTGGACTTGTTCGCTTCGATCCGCGTCCTGATAGGAGCGATCCTCCGCTGATCGCGCTTTCATTACACTCTCGCTTGAAATTAGAGCCGTAAGCAGGTGTGATAAGGTTCTCTCGGGGTTTTTTAAAGAGGGGTGGATTCACTGGTGGAGGGATGCTGAATTTAAGGAAGGAAATAGCCCTTAGTCAATAGAAGTTACTGTTACTCGTCATGGAAGAGATGTATTGATGATTCATAGCTGAGGATCTTGCATTTGTGCTGTTTTCTACCTATTCCATGGCCAAGTGAAAGTTCTTGTTCTCAAATCTGTTTCTGTGAGGGAGGGGAAGAGATACTTGAGGGGAAAAAAACTAGATGCACTCTGTCATCTAGTTTTTTAATTTGCTGAATTGGGATTATAATGTCTTGTAACGTCAAACAGTTGGGAATGCTCACGTTTTATATTACTGGAAACTGATTTATGGTTTTCATAAATCTTGCTGCAAAGAGGCTTTAAACAGGAGTTTCAGAGGTGGCTCATGCGAACTTTGTATGAGCATCTGTAAGTCCGTGCGGTGAGATTGCTCAGGTGGGGTGTTGGTCTGCTGGAGCAGTAGTTTTCTGTGATATGGGAGATCACTTCCTTTTGTCTGGACTTGGAAAGTCTGACTTCTTGAATTAATCAGCTGTATACCAGCACCTTTATGTGGCCAGATGTCGTAGGACATAGACTTTAGGAGTTTTCATTCTCTGAAGTAGTTAGATTTTAGGTTATACTGTTGAGGTGTCAGTGTGGTTGACCCTTGACCTGGGACCATCTTGTTTTATTGCCATTCTAACTAACATATTTTCACTTGCAGCTGACCACTAGCTATTGTGTCAGTATAAATCCAGTGCTGGCCCTAGATTAGGCCCACTGAAAGAAGAGGCCTAAACTTTTCTGCTTCTGGACAGCACAGAAGTTGTATTTGTGGTCTGGCCAAGCAGCTAGTTTAAGGTTATTCTGTATGTATGCTTATTAGAAATTACATTATATCAGTGCCATTTAGGTCAGTCCCGAATCGATTAGTTTCAACTAAAAATCTTCTGATTAACTAAAGTGTCTATATCCATGATGCTGAAATTCTGATGGCAATTGGGCATTATCTGTCCAATCGTAATCATGTGCACCGAGATGGATAAATTCCAGGCATAAGGTTTTTCCTGTGCATTTCTGATGCGTGATCTTGAATAGTACTGTGAGGCGGGACAGCTGGTATAGGATACCTGCTTTAAAAGTTCTTTCACACTTAATAGGTAGTGTGAGATTGTGCTTAAAAATATTTCCGTAAAGATAGTGTGGAGAAGCACTTGGTACTTACTGTGGAATTGTTTAGACCAGTGTGGTTATGGTCAGACAAATCTATTTAATTCTAACAAGAGTCATATACTCATGTTTAAGCATATGTTTTGCAAAACCAAAAAGGAATATAATTGCTGAGTAATACTATTTTTTTCCCAGCAGTTCTTCTTTGTGTCAACACACTGTTTGCTAAACTGCCAACTTCTTAAAAATTCTTGCAAGTTTGTCTTGCCCTTCCCCATGTCTCTTACAAGAACTTTCAGGCTGCTGCTTCTCTTCTTGTGTTTGCTTAGTACAAAACCAGTAATAGGCAATTTTTGTCAGAGGCGGTTTGTGCCTACACAAACCTAACACACACGTACACTTACAGTCTGTAACAGAGCAGTCTGGAACTGTGTTGAAGAAGCCCTTCCATTGCAGTCCTGTGTTTCACGACTTCCATTTTTGTACCCAAATTTAAGTTTCATTTCTGCTGACTCACTTGTCTTTTATGCATCTTATTCTTGTTCAAGATCTGAATATTAGAAAGTAATAAATGACATTTTATGGTACTGGCGGATTGTGTGGGTATAGTGAACAGCGATATCCAGTAATTTTAGTTTGTTAGCCACAGTGGCTTTTGAGATGATCTTACAGGAGCACATTCTGCCTACAAAGTGTTTTCTATGCTTCATTAGTTCATTCATCTATACTCCAGCATTCATACCAGTGATGGCAGAGCTCTTCCTGTCATACCGTCTCCTAGTGCTGTATTCCCTTTGAGCTTCCTTTGCTCTGCGTCACCACTCACATGGTTCCTTGTGCTGTTGTCTCGATTACAAGGCTGGAGATTGTGGAAGAGCACTGGAAAATTCCTTTGCCCTCGAGTGGTTTAGCCAGTGTTCTTGTTGCAGGTGGATAAGGTTAATAGTGTGGGGCCTTTATTTTTTTTTTAATGTCTTTGCAGTAGAAGTAGAACTTGGTCTTTTACCCTCATCCGTGCATTAAACTGCAGCCAGAGTCTTACCTGACTAAATTATATGGGGTTTTTATGCATGGCTGAGAAGTGGTAAAGTAACCCATGCTAACTGCCATGAAGATGTGACCCGTGCTATGCTCACCATAAAACGTAGATTGAATCTAATACTTCTGACTTTTGCTTCTGTTATCTAACAAAAAATTGCTAGCAGTTGAAAAGTATTAAATCTTATAGTGGCTGAAGCAGAGAGGAGATAGAAATTACCTTTTGTAGCTTAAAAGCTACAAAAAGCTACAGAGATGTCAGTCTAAGACATGCAGAAGGAACTTGTAATGGGAGTAGTATTTGGTTTTCAGTGTTCTAGAAACTGGTTCCTTATGTTACCACAGCCTGAAAAAGTTTAATGAAATTTAAAAATGATGCTAATCTAGAAGCTGTTGCATTAGACATGAAAATCTTTTCTTCATGTTTCAGGTATTTGTTCCCTTCTCTATCTGCCAGTTTAGCATCTTATTTACAGGACCAGTGTCACTGAATGTCTTCAGTGATTCACTCAGCTCCCCAACATTGACATGACATACATAGTTTTTAGCTAGACTGTATGATGTGACAGTGTGTTCTGCATGAGAAGTCTGTGCATATCTTATAACCCAAATTTTTGTTTCTGAAAGGAGTGGGACTTGTGGAGCCACTCTGAATGGCTGTCTATTGTCCTTTTCCTGCCTGTCTCCTGTCTAAGGGTACTGTCACCAGTACCCTTTTACTGTTTCAGTCACATTTGATGACGATTTAGAGGTCTTGGAGGTACTCGAGTTCAAACAAGCACATTTGGAGTGGCAGAGGGAGAGGAAAGCAGCTTAGAGGAAATAGACCCTGAAGTGCCCAGTTGAGAGAAGGCTGCAGTGCACCTACCTTGGATGTCACAGCAGAGAGGCTTTATAAAAACATTGAACTGTAGGAAAATTTAATAACTAACTGTGAGATAGGTAAACATACATGGACTTCATTACTGCTTAAGGAATTATGTGTTTACAATAGGTTTTTCAAACCTGATTGTGAAATCCGCACTTAATGTAAATTGATGTTTGCCAGAGTCTGCAGTGAGCCAGAAATGGCTATGATGTACTCACTCCTGTTCCCTCTAATTGCACCGTCTCTTCTGAAGCGCAAATTACAATACTTAAACATTAATTGATGATAAGGTTAATAGATTCAACAGGAAAGTGTACAGAAGACTTGTGCTAGAAAAAGTGAGAATTGAAAATTACAGCAAAGAAAGAAAAGTTGTGGGAAAACATACCTTCAAAATGAATTGGTGACAGAAAAGAAAGCAGGGGAGGAGAGGACTAAAGTAACACAGAGAAGATAGTGTTATGGTATTCCTTCATCCAACTGACTTGCTCATGTAGCAGGGTTGGCAAGAAGGAACATGTGCTGTGTCTCAGCCACTGTATTTCTTTCTGGCATCATGACCTGAATCCGCCTTGAGACACAGACTGGAGTGTTCAGGCACGTGTTCTGATGTGGTGATTCTGTTGCAAGCACATTACATTTTGGAGAAGTATTTGTTGGGTAACAGCTTAAACCACAGTAGGGAGGTTCACTCATCTGTTGGGAGTTATCAGGAGAGTCTTTCATGATAAATATGACCCTAAGATTCAAGTTGTCATAATTTTTCTAGATGTAACATGCTACAGTATGGTGATGAAAGATGAGTCCATATATTTGCTCTTTAAAATACTGTGTCTGTGACACTGCTTAGTATACTAATTAATTTAGACAAATTTGGTTTAAACTTACATGAAACTGATTTTGACTCTGAATTAATATAAAGCAAATGTCAAATATGAGACACAGAGAAAAACTCCTGAAGTTGTATAGCTGTAAAGCAATATTTATACCAGCACCGATAATTATTTAGTTGGCATATTACTTATATTGGAAAATGTCAATTATATAAATGTTCCCTTTTCTTTTTTACCTGCTTGTACACATATACTCATCTTGCAAGTTCTAAGCACAAAGAAACAACGAAATACAGACTTGGGCTCTGGTCTTGCCGACAGAATTTTTAGCTGTGTTGTAGGGAATACAAAGCTTGAATATCTAGATTGGTTATTTAATACTCTTTGTCTTTATTTTTTAAACTACTGAAACAGCTAATTTGCATTAAAACTAG